ACGTACAGCGACCCCTACGGTACCTGGTCCAAGGTGGTGGTCCAGGCGCTTGTAAAAATCACGACACAAAATTACTTCGCCGATATAAACCTCAGAAAGAACGAAATCATCCTGCGGTCGGGTCAGCGCTGCGACCTCCACCGAGGAAGCTGTCTAGATCCCGAAAACGGGCATTCCTTCTGGAGCCCAGTCCCGGAAGACCAGTGCAGTTTTAGCAGCTACAACGTCTTATACGAAGGGAAGGCATGAGTAATCACCTCACCTGGCCACCTCACCATATACACAGTCACCACTAAGGAGATGACATTCGCGTTGGCCCGAACGACCGAGACATCACTTTGCGGATACCAGCTCATCAAAACGGAGCACCTTAAACTCTACATCTTAGAAGCGCGAAACAGCCCTTTTCAAAAACGTAACAGACCAGCTACCAACAACTTAGACATTTTCACTTACGTCAACTCCAAATTCATATACATAGAAAGACATATACACGGCCAAATTTCCAAACCATACAAGAACATACTGGACGCGGATGTCAACTGCAAGCCCAGGCAGTCAGAAACGCCCTAGCTCAACCAGCGCAAGACGAAGTGGCCTTGGCTATCATGAAGGAGCCTGGATACCTCGCCATCCCAGCCCGCGAAGCTGTTCATATAGTAAAATGCATTCCCACGACGGTCATATTTCGGAAAACCGATGAATGCTACAACGAACTACCAATCACCCTCAATAACCGATCCGCATTCTTGAAACCCCGGACCCACATAATCACCGCCAGCGGAAGCGCAAGGCGCTGCAACGAGCTCCTGCGTACATTATTTAAAATCAACTCTCGATGGTATAAACTGACGCCACAGCTGTCCGAGACAATAAACCCACCAGCACCGGACCCTTTCGCAACACCCCGTTGGCACTACGAGGAGCCTCTCAGCTTAGCCACGGGCGGAGTATACTCCGAGGACGAAATCGAGAACCTAAGAGAACACATCATGTTCCCAGTAGAAAAGCACTCGGTCTTGGATAACTTTGCCCAAGGAATGAACGGCAACGAAAACGCAAGAGCCAGCCTGAACATAGGCAACTTCCTAACCGAAACCGACATACAACGCTTAACAAAATCGATGGCAAAGAAAATTTGGGACCGTTTCTTTCAAATAGGCACAATAACCTCTGGATTCCTGGGGATATTCCTCATAATCAGAATTATCAAATTAATAATAAACATAATACTGGAGGGGATAACGCTGCACCAAGGGTACGGCTGGAGCGTCCACTTGATGGCAGCCGTATGGACAACACTGACAAACTACATAATTCGGGACAGGCAGGAGCAAAAACCAAGTGGTAGTGACGAGGATGCGGAAGTGGAACTCAATACGGTGAACCCCAGTGCGAGACTAGTAATCCCAAGCCCCCAAAGACACACGATAAAAACGTTCAAAAAGACTACGAGTCCGACTCGGAATAACCCCGCCGTAACGTCCACCCAGTTACAGAAATCCGGAGGATTTCTTTTCCCCCGAGAAGGGAGGTGTGACGTCGCTCGGACGTCTTAGGCTAATGCGTAACTTATACCCTATAGATATAAGCCATACCCTTCACTTATCCACTACGTCGGCCACTCCACGAGGCAAGCAGAACCAACTACAGGACCAAGCTGCCGCCATCTCAGAGGATTCCGTCTCCAACCCCGATCACTCATCGCCGTGCGGCGCCCTACGAGTCTACGCTGACGTTTTCTCTGTCAGCGATCGTGTCCTGTACAGCCTAGTGACAGCCGTTCCCCGACGTTTCAAGAACTGCGAATCCAACGTACTCAAAGATTTGCGGCTACTTCTGTAAGTAGAATTAAGTGGCTACTTGTAAACCGTGATTCGCGAAAGTGTCGAGGAGAACAGCGCGACCCGTGCATAATTGGATCTGCTAGCCAATTGGCCAAAAGGGGCACCTAACACCCTCGTGTACTCGCGATTTAGTTTTTTTTATCTAAACGACGTCGTGGGTCACAACACTATACATCGTCGGCGAATGCGAGCGCGGTAATATTTGCGCCGCCAATTTTTACTCCCTCTCTTTCTCGTAATTGTTTTAACAAATCATTGAAGTCGAGGTTAAACAAAAAGCCCGACATGAAGTTGCCCTGCTTTACGCCTCTCATAATTTCTAAGGCTTCAGATCTCTTGCCATGGCATTCCAGAATAGTTGTGTTCTTGTACCACCCTACAATGTATTGGACAGTATGTTCGTCTAAGCCTCTTTTTTGCAGTGCATCAATAATTGATTATATATTTATGCGATCGAAGGCTTTTACGAAGTCTATTGTTAATATTAAAAACGGTTTCGCGCAGCTGCGCATGGTCCTGATTATTGCTTGTAGTATGGTGCTATTTGCCATGAGGCCGTCAGTAGTTGGAAATCTTCCAGAACACTGAAGAATTTATTTAATTAATAAAAACGAAATTACAGTGACGAACGAGTAAAACGTTCTCAAGAGTTGAAGATTAAATAAAATATTACTTCGCAATTGTATCGGAAATTAAAGAGAATTTTGTTTGTACAACCTTTTATGATATTGAAGTTTTAAATGTTGTAGGTCATTGAATTTGCTCCCAAAGTGGCTACTATGTACAGATTGAAATAGGATAAATTTCTATTTAAGAAAAGAAGATTAACCCTTTTGTCCCATTAACTGTTTCCTTTTCGATACAATAAACGTATCGTTATCATACGTTAATATTTCATAATATTTAATTGCAGTAAATATTCTAAATGATAAAGTTAAATGAAATATTCTATATGTAATTAAAAATTATATTTAGTCTTATATCTTTTTGTTTCCATCTTTTATTTTTTTTTTTCTTTTTGAGTAAATCTAGATAGCTTTTTACTGTAGTTTCAAAAATATCTAATTGAATATCTAGTTGAAAATTTACGTTTATATCGGTGGACAACTTACGCGCCTGAAATTATTCATTGTGTCATTAACGAAAAGTGGTACAGTTCATTCGACGAGACTTTAAACAAAGGAAAAGTATAATGACTTATTTAGACACTATAGTTACGAAATGATTTTACATAAAATTTGATTTAGAAGAATAACGTTTGATTCGTATTACAAAAACTTTTGTAAAAAAATCAGCTCTTCAAGTGACGTATATTCTCTAAAGTACCTTATATTTTAGAATTTTACTTTTCAAGCAGCAGAATTAGTTTAAATTTTCGCATAATGAAAGAATTTATTTTCAAAAATAATTTAACGTTAATTTGATAATAAACTATTCATACCACCGATGTGATAGTAATAATATTGGATATTTAAGTACAGTTACTGTAAATATTAATCATTGAGGTTGTCCTGGATTGTTATTAAATTCTGTTCGAGAACGTAAGACCAAAATAACAATTTTTTAACGATAAAGTCATATTTTTTGCAAAAATAGTTGTCATCCAGATTTACTGTAATTTTTTGTTATTGCCCTTTTATCTGTATTTTTTATTTTATATTTATATTTATTTATATGCAATTTTTTTCTACATTTTTTCAAAATGATGCACTAACCAATTCATCATATGAATTTTAGGTTCACAAA